CTGGATCAATGCAGGTAAACCGACGATGAAATCTGATGTTTATATATTTGGTCTTCTACTGATAGAGTTGATAACCAAAAAGGAATTTGTATTTGGTTATCCTTAATATGAGCCAGTCGTAGATGAGGTAATGTTTGGCAGAACTCATTTGGTTCATGAATGCTTCAGATATCACAGAGCTGACCTGGAGACAAAAGGCCATCGATGAAGAGTGTTTTGGGAAAACTGAGCAAGGTAAAACAGAATAGAATAAGCTATCCCATTCTTCAACCTTTGTATAACCTAAATTGCTAAGGCTGTCAACTTTGTGAATGATCCTCGAAGGATTTGTTTTACTCACCTATGAATTGGAGATTTTCTAATTCTTTAAACAAATTTAAATGCCCTTTATTATGTTATTGTTATTTCATGCTACGTTTGTAAATTTTCCCAATTTAGCATATTCATTTGGTAAACACAAACATTATAAAAGTCTCTGAATGGTGTAAATACTAAACATTTACTAAAAGCAATGGTATCAATGAATCCAATAAATGGCAAATTTGAGTTTCCAAAAATTTTAAAGCAATATATGCATAGAGCTGTCAATGATTCGATAAATGAACAGAACTAGACTCAAAATCATATTATGTCAAAGTGAGTCATCTTCTTTAGCAACGGTCACTTGCTCTCTATTTATGATTTCCAATCCCAATCTTAAGTGATCAATAGAAAAAAAGATTGTCAAATTTGTTTGTATGTAAATGAATAAATAGAAAATTTGAGTTTAAGGAAAAGTTTAAGAACGTGCTCAAAGATATCTTCGGGGAAGTTTGCTTCTTCTCTATAACTAATTTTGAATCTTTTTCTTCCTTTGCATTTCCTTTTTTTGTTGATGATACAAAAAGTTACATTAGGATAGGGACGACAGCTTTTTGCAAGATATGTGGAGAAGAAAAAAAGAATGGAATAATTCAAGATTTCCCATGATAAATTAGAAGGAAAAAAAGAATGAAAAGAAAAAAAAAAAACTATTACTATACACACTAGCTAAGGCTGGAGATGTGGCATATTCTTCATTTGACAAGGAAAAGTTGGTTAGAATTGCATTTTGAGAAGCATTTGGTAAAGCTATCTAATTCCCAAGTATCAGCTGCTCATCACTTCTCCAAACTTGTTTCAATTGTATAAGATGAGACCTAATGCTATATTCTTCTACCTGCATTATTGTCAAGTAATCGCATTAGATAATCAGTTCATTGGACATGGAACATCAAAAATACTCGCTATTCCATCCATCGTGTAATGTATTTGGAATAGAGATGGAAAATGAATTAGCACAGGCTTAGAATGAAGATGACAAACCCTCCTTACATGAACTATATGTACTATCAAACACTGAGATAACCTTGGCGTAACTGGTAAAGTTATTGCCATGTAACCAGAAGGTCACGGGTTCAAACAGTGGAAATAGCCTCTTGCAGAAAGCCAGAAATGCAGGGTAAGGCTGCGTACAATAGACCCTTGTGGTCCGGCCCTTCCCTGGACCCTGCGCACAGCGGGAGCTTAGTGCACCGGGCTGCCCTACGCACTGAGATAACCTCCTAAGACGTTTAAGCTAGACATGGTGGGACTTTACTTTTTGAGTTTCTATAATAGATACTGCACATTTTGTTGGTTACTAGAACCATGAATTTTCATTGTTGGGTAAAAACTAATGCTGATCAATGCAGATCCATAATGACCGTAAATTGTCATCCTAACATGCAAGGAATGGAGAATGAATCTGAAATAAAGTAAAAAGTAATTTCAGTCCAAATGCCAGAAGAAGAAGATCACTATATGGATATGGGAGATGATAAAAATGATACATCAACTGGGTTGAACTATGATAAAGGCATTAAATGGAGAAGTGAATAGGACAGGGAGAAGAGTGAAGACTAAGGAGTAGTAGAGGAGATTCTGTAATGAAGGCAATAACTTTATGAGGCCACAATTTTTGTCTCACCTGCATAGCCGCTGTTGAAGACAACAAGGCTTCACATTCGTCCAGCATGGCTCGCTCTTGAGCTGCCACATCAGCAAGTTCAGAAACCAGGCAGTTCATCCCTTCCACCTGCAAAGTGCAGAATGCAAAAATTAGGGAAAATTGTATGAAACAATTTTACCACAAACAAAAGCGCAGTGCAGACAATTATATAGAAGCTCTTAGCAATCAAGATACCAAGTTGAGACTTTAGATTGTTTGACATTCAATTCTAATAAAACAGACTGAAAGCAATTGGCCCAGGTTCAATAAATGTTTTTAACACATTTCAAAAAATCATGCTCTTGAAAGTCACATTTTTAGATAGCCAAAGAATGTAATATAACTTGTGATTCAACAATTACTGGCAGTCTAGATGGCCCCATGATCTTTGCTTGTGCTCGTAGTATCAACTCCTTTTTGTACTTCAATTGAGGCTATCTTACACAAGAAATAAAATCTACTTTTTGGGTGGACTTCGGCAATTTAAGAGTTTCTAACTGTCGGTAAAGGCCAAAGGCAATCCAGAAGTCTAAGCGTAAGAATTTTAAGCCTAATTCTCAGAGCATTGTCGTATTCATCTATAGTTCACTTTTCCATCTGCAACATATCTTGAATAGCAAGAAGGTTTATTAGAAAAAGAAAAAAATAGCAAGAGAATCTTTAAATTTTTCTGAGATACATATCATTCATTCCGTCAAATCAATATTATTTTTGAAAATCGACGCTCAGTATAACACTAATAGAAAATGTGCAAAGAGAATCTCTACATTTGTCAAACAGTCAAAGTTGCAACTTCTGCTGCTCAACAAACTAAAATGATTCTAGCATAACGTAGCTACCAGCTCTGTTACAGAAAACTATGTGCTAATGACCTTTCTATCTCTCTAATATCAGCTCTCTCACTCCCTCTCATCTCAAACAACAATTGTGGATTGTAAAAAGCCTGATAGTAAAAGACAACACCATTTGGTCCAATTTGCTATTGCATTTTATGTTACTTAAACACTAGAGATAGGGAAAGTAAATTAATGGTAAGAAAGAACAAGAAAAAGTAGAACTTAAAATAATATAAGAACTTACCCTAGACAATATAAAACGCATGGAGGATCCCATTGCCTGCATTACATCAACAGCTGAGCAAACAGCTTCCTTAACACTTTCAATATCACCCTGTAAAAGAGCCAACTCGAATAAGACTCTATGTCTTAGGAAGCATTGATCTCAAAACACCAAGGGATCGTTTGGTAGGGTGTATAAGAATAATGTTGAATAAGGTGTATTAGTACTGCAGGGATTAGTAATGCATGGGTTAGTAATGCAAGCATTAGCTATGCAAAGGTTATTTCTTATCCATTGTTTGGTGTAGTGTATTAAAAATTAGAATCCATTGCATAATTTTTAAGAAAATTGTTTGTTTACAAAAATGCCCTCCATATTCTTTAGCTTTAAAGGACTTTAAGGATAATTTGGCCTTTAACCATGCTAATGCATGCATTAATAGCCTTGGTATTGCTAATACCATGGTTTACTATGCATTAGCTATACATAGGATAATACCAAAGATGTATTAGTTATACATAAGTTGAAAAAGTGTACCAAACAAGGTTTTACTAATACACAAAGCTAATGCATGCATTATTTTCTCTAATGCACTCTACCAAACTACCTCTAAGTATCAAGTTGCATACCTTTGCTCGTCCAATAATCGGAAGACGGAGAGTGCATGCCTGTAGATCTTGTATAGCATGGGATACTGAACTGGTATGATCCCTTTCAATTGAAGCCCACTCATCGAGGTAGGTGAGCTGAACCAATCATTTCCAGAACAAAATCAGTTTAAACAATAACGCCACATCTACAGTAAAGATCTAAATAGAAATCATATTGTNCCCACAAATGATATTGTTACATACCATTCTTCTGAACCCTGATTTTCAAAATATATCCAGATACAGAGAAGTCAAATCAGCATAAGGAAAGGAATTACGAAGAAGTCTGGAACAGTTAAAGGTAAGACCTGACTAGAGACTGTTTCTGCAAGAAAAAATCAAGCTCAAAATTCTAGGTTTAAAAGCTTTCACTATTATGAACAGAAGATATCTAAATTCACATATTCATATCAAAACCTCAAGCATTTTATGGGTGTTAGGTTCCAGATAACAGGAAGATTTCATATAGTACCTAAAAATGGTACATTCTTCTGGCTAACAAGTGACTGCGTCCTACTCATACCTAATAGTTCAATTATGAGGAGAAACTCATCACAAAAAGGAGACTACATTCATATAGTGTTCAATGATTTGAACTAAGCCAGAGGAAAATTCATGGAATTCCACAGTGAAAGTCCTGCTTTCCATCACTACAAACTTCAACCACAAGCCAATAATTGCCTATATTAAATCCCTTACACAGACGAGAAAAGACAAAAGATGTGGTTTAAACTCAAATCTTCATTTTGAACTGGATCATCCTATGATAAGGAAGTTCTAGAAATCTACAATCCACAGATTTTTCTGGAAAACACTAAAAACATAAAGATTAAAACATCAGAGATGATATTCGAATCATATGTTATAAAGATACATTACCTGTTCATTTAAGACTGCAAAAAGCTTCAACTTCAGCTTCAGCTGTTGGAGTGCAGTTCTCTTTTTAATAACAGAAGCCCATAAATCTGACGTATTCCTCCAGACATTGTACAATGTTTTCTGCACATGCGGAAATTAAAACCGTCAGTTAAATCAGCAAAAACGCAACCAAGTCGGTTATATGATGGGGAGATATCGGAAAGCTCCCAGAGAACATCAAGCCACAAAGATATCAGTCCATGATCCCAATCCCACAAAACATAATTAAATAATAAATTAGAAAGTAAGAAGCCAATATTAGTAAGATAAATGAATGCCAGCTTTTCTATACTATTATAAAAAACGGGTTTTAACCTGCTTCTTGTGATCAAAAGTTCATTAATTATAATCTTTCCCCTTCTGTATTAATATTCCAAACAATGTCCATACCGCAGTCATTTTTAATAGATTTTCCTGTCATGCAGTACTTCTCAGGAACCAAATGAACATTTCCATGCATAAGATCACTATTAACCAATTTAGAAGAAGAGAACTCCGTGAGGCACAATGGATTTTTTTTTAATGATTATAAGGTAACTAAAGAAATAAATCTAAAGGCACACAATGAAGCTTCGCAAGGGAAATAACCAAACCTCTGCTTGAAGTTTCTGCGCGTGCAATGCTGCATCTGACCTGGCATTAGCATACCGCCATTGGAGATGTCTATTATACAATAGCCTCAGCTGATGAACATCTTCTATGTGGTTAGCTGCCTTCTTCCCCTTTTTAATATCTGCAATAAAGCTGAGGACAGAAGTAGAAGTTTTGGGTTGTCTAGATGGACTAGATGGTCTTATCCGAGAAGGACTTGGCCCTCTAGATGGTGTACTTGGGACTGATCTTGTTCGAGATGGACTGACTCCTCTAGATGCAGAGGATGATATAACAGATGCCTTATTCGGTGACGGAAGTCGTGATCCAGGAGCTGAAACAGTCTGAGATCTAGCTACTGGATTCCCTTGTACTGTTCTTTCCAATGAACTCGAAGATGTGGACTTCTGCATTGAAAGTGAACTATCATCTACTGACAGAACTCTACCTTTTACTCTATCATCAGATGATACTAGTGACAGCAAGTCGCTGGAAGATTTTTGCAATGGTGTGGTATAACCATCCAAAGATAATCTCCTCAAGGAAGGCGTGACTGAGCGTCTAATTGGCGCAATTTTACTACTCTTATCACTCAGATCAACACTTCTGTTCATGGTACCAGATGATACCTTCCCACCCATTCTACTGGGCCATCGATGCTGATCAACTAATCGAGCATTTAAACTATCAACTGGTCTAGAATTCTCTGCTTGATCAGCAGAATTCTTTCCCTTCAATGGACTCCTCCTCCTCTCTGGTGTCGCCTTTCGAGAAGCAGGAGGCGTTTCGCCCTGTTTCTGCACTACATTTGATGATGGCCTCAAAGTACGATCACATAGAGCATGAGAGACAGGTTTTTCTCTCTTACTTACAGGTAAAGAAAAGGTATCCGATTGAAACGAAACACTGAGACTCCTCATTGTTGAGGGCCACAAAGATTCTGGCAACCGATTACCTCCCAACTTTCTAGACAACAATTCTTCCACAGATGTATCCTGTACAGGTGTTGATGGTCGTGATGTAGTACGGGTAGGTGATGAAGGCGTGGTGGGGCGTTTCCTTTCAGCCGATATGGCTCGTTTAGGCAACGACATTGTTGATGTAGTAGTTCCAATTCTTGTGACATTTGGAGAAGAGCAACGTCTAACGCCAGAGGATGCTGCTGAAGGAGTAGGTGACCTGTACCTAGAACTAACTTCTCTGGTTCTTGGCCTGCGAGTGTTTCCATTGTTCTTCTCCACTGTTGAATTCTGCTTCTGAAATGCTAACTTTGATTCATACACATCCATCCAAACTGTCCAAGATTAGACAGCATTGATATAATGATATCCCCTTTCTTATATTAATAACAACTTAAGCCATTCTTGAAAAGCTCAGCTCTCAAGAACCCAACTTTAATCTGATGAATTATACACCGATGCCAATAAAGTAAGATCCTTTTCTCTGCTGTAAATCTGCCACAAAAATTCGAGGCTAAAAGTAAGATATACTAAAGATAAAATTAAAGAAGGAATAATTAATAAACCATTTGAAAAAAGAAAAAGGATGATCAAAAGAATACATCTTTACAGGCACCCAGATCTAAAGAAGAATCAATATTAGAATCCCAGCCAATAAAATGCAAATTCTTGTTCTATAATCACAATGATCAATACCCAAAACCAGGTAGATCAAGCAAATGTCAAGAACTCAATTAAAAGAGGAATCCCTATGCTAATATATGCCAAATCAGTAATATTATCAAGACAAGAATGTACATTGGCAGGCAGAGAAAAAAAATTAAAAATTGTATGCTTGTTAAAGAAAGAGAAAGAGGTTATATTAACCTCTTCCCTCGAAATGGGGAAGTATAGTGGGAGACGGGGTGGGTGTAGGATAAGAAATAGGACTAATAATGATGCACAGGACAAGAAAAGCTTCTCTCATTTACTTTTGTTTCCTTCTTTTTTTTACTTTTCCACCCGAGGTCCAATACACGCTTTGGGAAGCGATCAGTTCAAATTCATACCAAAAAATTCCACTTTTGGAGGTAACATTACTCCCTATCAGTGACTATTATATACCATGGCTTAAACTAGAAATTTCTATTTAAGAATGGAAGAATATTTACCATTCCGCATTCAACCATAACCTTTAATAATAATTTGTTTTGGTATCTCTTTCCTTCCCATTCCTAATTTTGCTTTTCCTTCTTTTTGACCCTCCTCTTTCCCTGTGGCCCCAACAACAACCTTTTATCCCTCTCACGGGAGTGCCATGGTCAGCCAAGCTGGATATATTACACAGATAGTCACAGCCCCTCTGTCTTGTTCCTTCTCTCCCACACCCAACTCCTTTTCATGAAAGGGAATTCAGTTACACTCAAACTTACACCTAAGGTAACTATACACAAGATAATTTCTCACAAATAAATAAATTGGGTTTCTTATTTTTTTATAATAGCGGTGACTTTCAAGCTAGCTTGTAGGCACCTAATTAATTTTACTCGTACCTATTGCCTCTCACAAGTACAAGTATCAAACAACTCGTTTGAGCATATGCAAGAAATCAACTGTTCCATCCGTTCCAATTTACGTGAATTTATTTTCTTTTTTGGTCTGTTCTAAAAAGAATGATCATTTTCTAAATTTGAAAATAATTTAGCTTAAGCTTATAATTCTACCATTAATGAGAAACTTTTATAATCACACAAATACTATAGGCCCCTTTTTGATTTGTTTAGGACTATAAATTTTAAATTTTTCATTTTTTTTTAAACTCCGTACTCAATCAAACACATTTCACATAAATGAGAACGGAGGAAGTACTAATATTAATTTTTGACTACGTGCCTGAGATTTGAACCTATCTTCATTAATTAGGAGGTCACGCTTGAATCAACAAGCAAATAAGCTTTCAATCATTTTTTTCAAGATTAACTGCATTTCGGTGCTTTAACTAAATAATTAGGAGAATGATATAAAATTATAATAAAACTCTTGTTTGTTTCCCAATCATACTCCATAAAAGGAATAAGAAAAGCAAGCAAATGATAGATAAATATATAGGGTTATGGGGGCGGAAATGGAGGACCACGTGCAAGTAAGATCATTGTCCATCCCCATGAACTCTCAGTATCATAAATGCACTTAAAAAATTATTCATATCTATGTAAAAAATCTATATACACTATTTTTTACACTAAACAAGCCTACATCGATAAAAGGAGAAATCCAAAAAATAAATATTTTTTATGTTAACTATTTCCCTTGTTTAGTGGATTTTAGGAACAAAAATCAACGAAATATTGAGAATATATTGAAATCATAAGAAAAATAGATCTAATAATGTGCTGTGGCAGATTTTGTTCCTAATTCTGTGAACATCTGCATTATTCATGTACAGTCACCATAAAGATGGTTCAGAAACTAGAAACAAATTACTCCTAATTAGTAAGTAGCAGTACTATTATTTTGCCTACACATAGAAACAGAGTGATGAAAGAGAATTTTACACAAAACTCAGTAAGTTTTCAAACATAATGATAGAATAATTTTATTTCTTAAAACACAGGAGCATGAAATACCACTTCATTAGATTCAAGGAAATCAGCAGCATCAACAACAACCCAGTAATATTTCACGTGTAGTCCTGAAGAGGTTAGTGTGAACGCAGACTTTACTCCTGCCCGAATAAAGAAGCTGTTTCCGAAGCACAAGGAGATGAAAAAAAAACAATGGAACAATAACAACCACATAGATCAGGAACACAGTGCCATCATAAATATGATTCGAAAGTTCAAAAAAGTTGAACAAATTTTGGTAACAAAAACTTGATCAAAACCGTTGCAAAACAGAGATAAAAAGGAAGCTAAACAGAGAAAAGCAATTCCAAATTTAAACAAAAATGTCCAATTTTCCCTATAAAATTAAAAATCTTAATAAAATTGTCAAAGTATGACAAAAGAAGAATCCTTTTTAGAATATGAAATTCGAAAAACACGGCAAACAAAGCTAAAAATGTTCTAATCCAATTGAAAAGTTTCGTTTTTTAATACATGATCATAGTTCATAACCCTAGCAATACAGAGACAGAAAATATAACTAAAATCCAGAAAAAGCCCGAAATTTGATTTAAAAATTGCAGTTTTTGTAAAAAAATATTCTAATTTGTAAAACAAAAGAAAAATAAGTTTAAAATATACTGTTAATCGAAGTCGCCGGACGACAGCCGTTGTTAATTTGCCGGCGAAAACACGTAATCGCGTACGAATTTCAAAATTCAAATACATATATATCACGTGTATATAATATTCGCAGAACAAATTCAAATGCGAGAAATCAAAACTAACCAGTAATTAAATAATCAAACATCAAAGTCGCCGCCGGACGACAGCCGCCGTTAATTTCCCGGCGAAGTTACGTTAATTAACCGTATAATATGGTTGGGGAGAGAGGAGAAGAAGAAAAAGAAAAGACGTAGTTGGTTTCTTTTTTGGCGCCACCCAATTTTGATTAGTAAAATAGGCCAAAAAACTCAAACTTTTTTGTCTATTTTTCTCTTTATTAATAATTAATAATTAATAATAATAACGATATCATCTTCGGGAATTCCGCGATTTGACGTCTTCTACTTTTTTTCCGACTTTAAAAATTTCTTTTTAATAACAGAATTATCAGATCAGTTTGCACACGCATTAATTATTTCATTAATACATGTTATCTACCATAACACATATATCAGGTCATAGAGGCGGAGGCGAAGTTATTTTATTAGGTGTGGGTTCGATCGAACATAGTTATTTTTTTTTAAATATTGTATTTGTATTAGAAATTATATTAAATATATTTTGATATCTAATAACAAACTCAATAACCAAGATGAGCTATGGTTTTATGACAAATTCAGAACGCATAAACTTTAAATTTTAGCCGCATCTATGTCGAGATCGTGTCAAACTTCTAATGGTAATAAAATATCAAAAAAGTTTGAATTGATATGCATGAGTTGTGTTTCTCGAGGGTGGACACAATTTTGAAAGAAGGATTCAATATGAAAAATAAAATAATTAACGTCATTGTAATTACTGTAATTTATTTACAATTAACAAATTAAGTTCTTTTTGTTTTTGCTTCAAGTATTTGAATCCAAAGACAACGTGTTTGATTAATTTGGTTTCTTGTCATAAAGGTCATTAAGAAAAGTAATTTTTTTTTTTTTTTTTGAAAATTTTATATTTAACATTCGAACTTAAAACCTTTAATTAAGTAAAAAAAATAAATCGTTATCATCATATCACATCATTCAAGGATACAACTCAAGTAGCTAGTATTCCTATACTTGAACTAAGGATTTTATTTTTGTCAAAATCATAGTAGGTCGGCTTAAAGGAAGTGACCAATTCCTTTTCCTTACTAGTTCATCAATGTTTAGTCGAGGAACTATCGAAAATAAATTATCTACCGTCTCGAAATAGATGTAAAGTTCGCATACACTCTATATTTCCCAGACCTCATATCGTGAAAATACACTGAATATGATATTATTATTGTAGTGGTTCATCAAAGTCTCATTAGTTGTGCATTAAGTGGAGTTAAAAAAAAATTAGAAAAGTAATTGAGAGGAGTTTGTCAACTAAGAGATGAAAATAGTTTTAAAATTATTATAATGTTTATTATTACTTGGTCTAATTCTTCTTCATCCATTTCTTTTTCGTAATTATTTAAGATACTATTATTTCGAAAAAGAAAAAAAACTACTACTCCTCATAAGATTGTGGTAAAATGAATAATTGCTCAATGATTAGAAGAATTATATGACTCACAATATATACAATCACATATTATGATATTCAATTTCACAATCAATTTAGAGACATATATAAATAATAAGCTAAATATATAGGCAGCTCCGCTAAAATTGTCACATTGTTTTTTATTTAAGTACTTTAACTGAACCTGTTTCCTATCAAACACTTAATTTGCACATTTATTGGACTAAATGTGTCACGACATAGAGAGGAACATCAACTTCTGATATTTACCAAAAATAATCTCTATAGTTTGACGAATACCAACTATAATTTATTATTTAAGTGGTGTTCGTCAAACAGAGAGATGAACATCAACTTCTGAAATGAAAGGGTCTTTCAACTTGGAAAGCATGAATCGCACACATGATGCTAAAAATTGCAAATAAAACTTAGGACCCGTTTGTCCATAAAACAAAATCGAATTTTTTCTTCAAAAATTTGTTTGTCCATGAATTTTTGCAAGTTTTTGAAAAAATTTCGAAAATGAGTTTTTCAAAAATCAAAGAGTGGTTTTGACCACTTTTTCAAAAAATTTAAATTTTTTTCTCCACTCACAAAATCACAATATTTTTTCAAGTGAAATGCATATCCAAACATAAATTCAAATTTCAAATACTTTATTTTTCAACTTAACTCCAAATACTATTATTTTTTTTCAAAAATTATAATTTTTATGTCCAAACTCCTACTTAATTTTTTCCTCAACAAGCCAACATTTCAAGTCAAATATATATAATGTCGAGTTAGTGATATCGTTATTTCATATACTATGAATGTACTGATATAAGTTAGGGGAGGAGCTAGAGTACGAGTTCAGGCGAACTCAATAACAATTGTTTAGATTATGTATTTACATTAGGAGATTTATTTAATATGTATAAATTCTTAATTGCAAATCCACTAACTGAGTCGAACTACGAACTTTGTGGCAAGTCCAGAACCATAAACTTCAAATCCTGATACCGCATAAGTCGGGAGTTGAACCGTGCGTCATGAACTTTTGCATCAAGAATTATATTTTATCTTCTTTTTCTTTTTCTCTTTTTCTGTTTTGGTTGTGTGTAATATGATTAGTCATATTGATGATTTTACATCATTATAACTTAATAAATAAATCAATAAAGGACCACTTGCTTTAATTTAAGTCCATGAAAATGCTATAATAGATCATGATGAGTCCATATCACGGGGAGCTCAAGATTTGTATCAAAATTTAGTCCCCCCCTAAACTTTAACTTTTGTTGTGGCCTATAGCATTTAGGTTACTTTACCTCTTAGCCAATAAAAAATTCGTTAATATTTTTGGGGTATACCCTACTTATTGTTTGGTACTTAGCATTTAGGTTACTTTACCTCTTAGCCAATAAAAATATTTTTCAATTTTTTCATGTTTGGTTCGCTAAAATGTTTCGGATAGGAAAATATTTTCCCTATCAAGAAAAGAAAAAATATTTTCCAAAACTTTTTTCCAACCTTCCCCCATTTCCCATCTCCACCCCACCTCACCCACCCCACCATCACCCACCCCATTATAAATAGAAATATTATTAATAGTACTTTCTTTTCATGTTATAGATAAAGTATGTTTTTTCAACAAATGAGTATTTTCTTTTCACGATATAAAAAAAGTTTTTTTTTTCATTTTAACAAAAAAAAAGTACTTTCTTTTGATGATGTAGAAAAAATATTTTCTTTTATTTCAACAAAATGATATAGTAAAAAGTATTTTCTTTTATTTCAACAAAATGAGTACTTTATTTTCATGTTGTAGAAATAGTAGTTTCTTTTTCAACAAAAAAAAGAGAGTACTTTTTAAGTTATGGAACACAAATTTCAACATTATTTTTGTGTAAAAAAGTAAAGCAACACATTAGTTCCTTTGGGTTTGTATGAATTTTAGAAGAACAATTAAATTCTTGAAGAAAATAAAGTCATGAAAATGTTGG